CTTTAGATAACTGATTCTATAAAATTACTGTTGAAATCTCTTTATCACCAGTAGAAGAGACACAGACATCTCACTTAGTGCACAGTAACTGTGGGTCAAGACTTGGGTTGCCACCTGCTGCACAAGTGCAAGGACCAGAGTTCAATCCCCGGTACCAAAAAACACCAGATTTGGGTTGCTGTAATGCTCACAAGATAGCTGTAGATTTCTTCTCTAGGCTAAAAGGGTCTCATGGTATGTTATTCCTCAAGTGGCCCTGATAGATTCCACTGCAATGGATTAGCCTGTTACTGCTATGGTTGAATTGATTCTATAGGAACAATCCTGACTCAGTAGACAACTGAATGCCAGTGAACCTGTCTGCCAAATCCACCATCACACCACAGAGAGAGACGCAAGAGTTCCTAAGCCAAGAACTCACTTGATCAGATTCTACAAGAATGGCTGCAGCCTGGCAGAAAGCAGTCCTGAGTCTGGGTTAACTTCAGTACTGCGGTGCAGGGGTCAGAGGAGTTCCTGGGTGTGAGCACTCAGACTCTCTGGCAAAGAAGCTATTTGGGAATCTCATATGCAGTGTCTCATTGGAATATTTAATCTGTGTTCCCATTGGACACCATATTGGTTTAAGTTTTTGTATGTTTCTTGATTTAGTTAGTAACCTGGGGTTATGTTATGTTCTTTTATAGTTTCATATGTTTATCAGGTTATTACTCATGTATTTGTCCACTGCCTCTGACTTAATAGGTGACTAGATTCTCCCCCTTGTCTCAGCTCTTTATCTAGTTCCCTCACCTCAAATCCCTGAGACAATATTATTAACATAATTCTTTGTTCTTTTTCCAAACACATAAACTTCTCCTTACAAGTTCTTAAAGTCACCATACTTAGCTCCCTCATAGTCAGTCTTATCTTTAGTGTTTTTCCTCGGTCCTTCCCATCCTAAGCCTTTGGCCCTTCCATATCTTACCCAGGTTATTTATTGTCCTCTCTATAAGCAAGTTTTGATAAGCACATAGCTTTCCTTAACCACAAAGTGAACCCCCCTCCTCCCATATCTGACCCTTACCTTCACAAAATATTCTCTAAAAACCCTCACTACTAAACCTTCAGCTCAACTAAAAGCACTCCAATAAAATCAGACCCCACATCAATCTTTTTTTCTCATCCACCTCTAGCCTCCCCTTCAAACCTCCCCACAATGTGTAACACGACTCATCCAACCGCTCCCATTCCCCCATCTCACCTACCTCACTGCAGAGCAACCACGAGTAATAAACTGGTATAGTGTGCAAAGAGAATAGGCAAAGTGAGGAGGAGTAACTGCAAGGGCAATCATACAGAAGTGCTGTAAGATGGAATCTGTGGATGCTGTTATAAATAGAAGCAATTCTTTCCGCAAAACATGGGGACAGAGTTGAAATAACTTAAAGTAAATAACAGAAGGAGTAAATACAAGCACTGGAGATACGAAGCTGAAAATTATTCACAGGGAGGAAGCATCCTAGTAAAAATCTCCATATAAGCCACAAATTCTCCTCACTTCTCTAGTCCCCAACCTACAGTAACTCCCCACAAGAAAAATGGAAGAGGAAAAAAAAAAGAGGGATGAATACAAAAACAAGGAAATAGAAGCTCTATGAACTACACACACACACACACACACACACACACACACAACTCTCCCAAGACAGAGCAAGGGTTCACAAAAGGAGAAGAAAACAAATACCAGGTAACAAAACTATGAAAAGTTCTTAGGGGGGATGAAGAAAATAGATAGGTTCAAAGAGGAAATGAACTAAAAGTTCATAGCAATTACACTCAATATCCCCACGGTAAATTTTAGGAAAATAGGTAAAAAACTGGATAAGCTAATCAAAACAGTTCCAAATTTGAATGGCAGAATCAACAAGGATATGAAATCTTCAAAAAGATGCCAGATAGAAATGCCTGAAATAAAAAACAGTACAGAATCCATACATTGCAGAAATGACCAATGTGAAGACAGAATGTCTGATATTGAGGACAAAATAGTGAATTACAATAAAGAGCTCCAAGAAGCCAAAATGAAAATAAGAGAAGACTATCCAGCAGGTACTAGATGACATCAAGAAGACCAATCTAAGGTTAGAGTCAGAGAAAAACTAGAAGGTAACACAGATCAATTTACTTACATGCTTAGAGAATTATGTAAGAAAATTTCCCAAATATAAGAAAAAGAATTTAAGGGCCGGGGATTTAGCTCAGTGGCACTGCGCCTCCCTTGCAAGCGCAAAGTCCTGAGTTCAATCTCTGGTACCACAAAAAACAACAACAAAAAAAGAAAAGAGTTTAAAATACAAGTAACTGATGATTATAGAACACCAAGCAATTGTGATGAAAGGAGAAGTTTACAGAAGACTATAATATTGATTATGCCCAAAGCAGGCTGTAAAAAGTTAACCCCACGTTTGGCTTGTTTTGAGAAGTGAGTCCAGCCAAAGCCTACGTGCTGAGGTCAGGGTAACTCGCACCCAAATTCTGTTCCCACAACTAAAACCTTCTTTCTAGAAGGACAATGTTCTAATTACAACCATACATTTTGATTTTTCTTTTTTTTCTGGTACTGGGATCAAAGTCAGGACCTTGCACTTGCAAGGCAGGCATGGCGCCACTGAGCTAAGTGCCAAGCCATACAACCACGTATTTTGTCTTTTTTGTTCCTAATTTGAGAATGCTTTGTCTTGTCCTTTATGAACCTTGTTTACATTAATTTCCATAGAAACTGCATGTAGCTCACCTTTACCCCAGTTGATTTTTTACCCCAAAAAAGTCAGTGCCTGGGACTGTCCAGGGCCTTTGTCGGTTGCACTGGCATTGGTAGTCCTGGCGCTCGGCTTTCTCTCCTAGTTCTGTCTTTTAGGGTTTTTTCTCAGGCATGTGTTGTATACTGGGCAGGAGACTGGAACCTAACTGCAGAGGTCTCCAATAGAAGTTCCCCAAGGCATACCATTATTAAGTTCACAGATATCCAGAAAAAACAAAACAAAAAACAGAAAAGGGCAAAGGGAGCAATCTCTTTCAATAGAGGAGGGGAAGGACATGAGAAGAATAAAGACATGCCATGTACAGGAACCTAATAACTCCAACTAATGTAAATAGTATATGCCATAACATGAGCTAAGACAAATAATATTAACAAGTATGACAAGGGGGATAAAGGAAACAGAGGAGGGAGGAGGGGAAGGGAAAAGGAAAAAAATAAACAAGCTGTAATATGTACATGTAACCACTCCCCAAGATAATTTAAATTTTAATTTAAATTCATTTGCATGAATTGCAAATATGAACTAATAAAATTTTAAATTTATTTTAAAAATAAAAAGTCCAATGTATTAAAAAAAAAACCTACTCCATGGGCCAAGTTGTGGAACTCATTTTCTCTTGGGGAGGAACTCCTAAAACCATGTCTGGTAATTGTTCCCCCAATGGACCATATGGCCTTTACATATATCTCAATTAATTTGAAAGAATTCAAGTCATACAAAATGTTTTCTGACCAGAATGGATTTAACTAAGAAACCACTAATGGAAAAATAACCAGAAAACACCCAAATTTTAGAGCAAAGTTGCACTTCTCATTAACCCATGGGTCAAACAAGAAATAAAAAGGGAAAATAGTATTTTAAATAGAATGACACTAAAAACAGGGTATATCAAAATGTGCGTGATGCACAATAGTACCAATTATTCTATATAATTATAGACGTACTTAGAAATATAATTGCACTTCATGCCTCTTGTAAAAGAAAAAGTCTCTAGTCAAGGACTTCAATTTGCTCCTGAACAAATCAGAAAAAGAATTTGAGCAGTGAAGCCCAAAGTTAGCATAATAAAAACAATAAAATAAGAATGGAGAGGCTGAGGGTACAGCCCAGCGGCAGAGAGTGTGCTTAGCAGTTGTGAGGCCCTGGGTTCATTCTCCGCTGGGTACACACACACACCCAGAGAGAGAATGGAAATCTTTAGGAAATAACTAAAATCCCAGTAGATGGGAGCACAAATGGGCCTGCAGTTGTTTTGCCAAGGTGATGCTGAAACTAGGAGGAAAGACCTGCAGATGCCCAATGGGCAGCTAAAAGCAGAACAAAGACCAGAACCTCTGCCTTTGTTTTACACGTCTCCTTTATTGTTATGTGAAAATGGGGATCTGGTCCCTGTTCAGCGCAGGTTAATCACATAAGGACAAGACATATTAGCCTTTATTTACCTAACCTATCTCATCCTCCTGCAAGACTGAAGATAAAAGTAGCCAATATTCAGGATTTGCAGGGACATCTGTTATGGCTTGTGTCTAGATATCCCCCAAAGCCTCATGTGGTCATAGGTGGGGCTTTTCAGAGACTGGATCTAGAGTGTGTGATGCCGGGATCAAGGGTGTGTGATTACTAAATTATTCCACTGATTGGTTTGGCATATGTGTTAGTTACTTTTCTCTCATTGCTGAGACAAAATAGCAGACATCCAAAGTTAAAGGGGAGGGGAGTTATTTGGTTCATAAGAGTTCATAGAGGTTTCAGTCCATAATCGGCCAACTCCAAGGCAGGAATAACAGGCATGACAAAGCAGAAACAATATGGCACACACAAGGCAGCAAAGGTAACAAGAGAGTTAGCAGCATCTCCCTGCCCCTTTTATCTTATTCAGACTACATAGGGCAGGTAGGGTGTGGACATGTGAGTAGAAGGGGAAGGAAAAAGGCATGCCTCTCCACGATCCTTCTCTGTGCTGTCTGCCCTCCCATTTGCTCCACATGATTTTTTAAAAATGCTTCCTTTACATATTTAGAAGGGCAGTTAAAATGGAAATTAGGTGTTGTATTATACTGTTCACCCCTCACAGTTTGGTTTTCTCACTTAGACTGACCTAACCCATGTGGTCATATGTTCCATAGTTATCTTAACAAGATACAGGTATTTTCAAAAGTAGCTTTTACAGAAAGCTTACACAGAAGAGTCTGATTGTACATAATTATAAACACACCTCTGATTTTATTTGCAACATATTTCACACAAGCTGGAAACAGGATGGCAACTATTACATATAGTGAACAAGAGAAAGGAGAAGGGTCCAGTATGGAAACCTACGGGTTGCCCACACGTGAGTCTGCTCAGGGTCCTATAACCAGATACCATAAACTGAGTGACTTAAAACAACAGAAATTCCCCCAGTTCTGAGCACTGGAAGTCAGGCCAGGGTGTCAGCCTGGTCAGGTTCTTTCTCTCCAGGGATCCTCTTCATTTGCAGGTGACTGTCTTTTTGAGTTGTCACGTGAGGCAGGAAGAGAGCAAGCTCTCTGGTGTCTCTTCTTGTAAGAGCAATATATCCACATGAGGGCCCCAACCTCATGAACTCATTTAGCTTTGCTGCCTCATTTCCAAACGCCATCACACTGGGGAGGGGTTTCCAAATACCATTACATGGGAGAGGATTCCAAATACTATCACACAGGGGGGGCACATACCATCACACGGAAGGGGTTCAAATATCACACAGCGGGTGTTTTCACACTGTGGGGGTCCAAACGCCATCACACTTCAACATACGAATTTTAAGTTGATACATTCAGTTTGTAACAACATGTATTCCAAAGCTTATTACACATATTACACAAAAATGAATGTTTATTCATATAAATATAGACAATTTATTTTCAAATACAAAATTTCTCCCTGCTCTGAAGTTTCTCATTCTTCAGTACCTCCAGGCTCTTTCTTCTTCAGCCTGATTTAGATCTTCATGCCATATTAGAACTTCACATCATTATCTTCATATCCAAGAAGACAATATGGAAATAACAGCTGCTCCATGCCATTATGAATGTTATCTTCAGCCATCTAAGGCTCTTTCTTCATTTTCACCCACAGGCTGCTGCTAGGTGAAAGTGGCACCATCTTCCACCAGGAAAACCCTTATGATGGTTCCAGTTCTGAGGAACAGACTCAAACCCTTCCTTCATGTGACTTCATATCAAGTGCAAAATCCCATCCACAAAAATGGACTTCATAAATCTAGTTTATCACATGTGGCTAGTGATGTATTTTCAAAACTACACTAGAAGTAAAATATCAAATGAAAAATAGCTTTCATTCACAAAGACTAATCCAATCTTCCTGAGCTTGTCTTAGGAAATTTCAAATCCTCACATCAAAAGTCACCAAGGACTTTTGCTCTTTGGCTTTCAAACTGGGACACATCACCTAGTGGTTTCACTTACACAAAAGTTGAGGACAAATGCAGACTGTTCCCAACTTACAATGATCTGACAGGATTTTTTGGCTTTACAATGATGTAAAAGCAATATGCAATCAGTACAAGTTGTACTTCAACTTGTCTTTTCCTAGGCTAGCAATAAGCAGCATGATAATCTCTCACAATGCTGGGCAGTAGCAATGGGTTGAAACTCCCAGTCAGCCACACAATGCGAAGGTGAACAACTAATGCTCTACACTGCACTGTGCTGATGTTTGGTAGGTTAGGTGTATCAGACACCTTTTTTTTTTTTTGGTATTTTGAGACAGGGTCTCACTATATAGTTCAGGCTGAACTTGAACTTACTGTGTAGCCAAGGCTGACCTCAAACTCAAGGGACTCTTCCTCCCTCAGCTTCCAGAATGCTGGGATTACAGGTGTGCACTACCACACCCAGCTCATATTTCTGATTTACGATATTTTCAATTTATGAAGAGCTTACAGGAAGTAATCCCATCATAAATCAAAGACGTCTATAATTTCCCAGGCTTCTCACTGCTTCTTTGATAGGCTCATTCTTATAGCTTTTATAGCCCTAAAGAAAAGCCACATGGGAGGCTGAAGCTGAAAAAATGTTTAAGCCCAGGAATCAAGGCTAACCTGGGAAATATACTGAGAACTTCTTTCAAAATACACATGGGCGCGCACACACACACACACACACACACACACACACACAAATCACCTTAGGCTTTTTCTTCAGGATGTGTGCTCTGATGTCGAATCAGGGATGAGCTCCTGCTATACGCCTTCCCACATTTACTACATTCATAGGGTTTCTCTGAAGAATGACTTCTCTGGTGTCGAATAAGGTCTGAGCCACTGCTAAATGCTTTCCTGCACTCATTACACTCATAAGGCTTCTCTCCAGTGTGACTTCTTTCATGCAGAATAAGGGATGTGCGCTGACTGAAGGCCTTCTTACAGATCTTGCATATGTATGGCTTCTCTCCAGTGTGGATTCGCTCATGCTGGGCAAGATGGGCACTCTGGCTGAAGGCTTTCCCACACTGATCACATTCATAGGGTCTGTCTTCGGTGTGTATTCTCTTGTGTCGAGTAAGCGATATCCGGTGACTGAAGGCTTTCCCACATTCCTCACACTGATAGGGTTTTTCTCCAGTATGAATTCGCTGATGTTCAATAAGAAATGACTGGCGGCCAAACACCTTACTACACTTACTGCATTTGAAAGGCTTCTCTTCAGAATGTATGTTCTGGTGTATTTTAAGGTTTGCAGTTCCAGAGAACATCTTTCCACACTCTTTACACTCGAAGAGTTTCTTCTTCCTTTTGTGAAGTTTCAGGTGTTGAATAAGGGTTGAATTCCGCTTGAAGACTTTCGGACATTTATTACATCGATAAAGTATCTCTCTCTTATGAATTTTCTCATGGAGAATAAGGGTTGAAAGCCGCTGAAAATCCTTATTGCAATTATCACATTTGTAGGGTTTCCTTGAAGTGTGGACTTTCTGATGAAGCAGAAGGGGTGAAATCCTATGAAAGGACTTACCACACTTTCTGCATTTAAAAGGATTTTCTAAAAATCGATTTCTTCGCTGTATACTCTGACCTAAGGCCTTCTCCTTTTTGTGGGCTTTCTCTCTGGTATGAATTCTTTTGTGTGTAATAAGGACTGATTTCTTTTTGAAGCCCTTCCCACAAGTATTGCACTTATGTATTTTCCTTCTACTGTGAATTCTCCTATGAAGTAAAAGGGCTGCCACACGACTAAAGGCTCTCCCACATTTTCTGCACTGGAGGGCCTTCTTGACAACATGACTGCTGGGGTGGGCACTGAGAGAAGTATTGGGACTGGAGGCCATCCCATTGTCAGAAGTTTCCTTTCTACTATGAATTCTCCTGTGTAGAATAAGGGTTATGCTTTTACTGAAGCCTTTCCCACACTGATCACATCCATAGCTTTTCTTTTCATTGTGAATTCTCTGGTGAAGGATGAGGGATGTGATCTGTCTGAAAACTTTTCTACAACGACTGCATTCATAAGGCCTCTCTCCAGTGTGAGCATTCTGATGAAGTTTGAGGGATGATCTCTGACTGAAGATTTTCCCACAGTCCTTGCATTTCAAAGATTTCTTCGCTGAAAGCCCTTTCTTGGCCCTTCTTCGGAGTAACTCTACCCTCTTGCCTGTGGGAATCTTTATTTGTATAGAAACTGGTCTTTGATAGAAGCTTTGCTTAGATTTGCTGCACTGATTTGGTGGTAATTTCTCGATCTCACACTTAGATGCTAAATCTGAAAGACAAGAAGAAATTAAATATTTGTTTTCCTGTGTGGGAAGGTTGAAGCTTGTATAATATAAATGCAGTCATTATTACTGATTATAATAATGATAGCCATATCAATAACTTTCATTGTCTTATTATAGCCTTAGTTACCATACTAAGGGCTTTACATAAGTGTTTCATAACTGCAATTCAGGAGAATTTGCAATCTGAAAGTGAGCAACTCCAAGTGTTATTTATATGATAAATTTTATATAACATTCACCTCTTCAGGCAGTTCATTAGATAAATGTATTTTTGCGGGGATTTAGCTCAGTGGTTCCAGCACCTGCCTCGCAAGCACAAGGTCCCAAGTTCAATCCTGGGTACCAAAAAGATAGATAGATAGATAGATAGATAGATAGAAAAATGGGTTTTTGTGGGGTTTTTTGGTACTGGGGATCAAACTCAGGTCCTTGTGCTTGCAGGGCAGGTGGCGGAACCACTGAGCTAAATCCCCAGCCCAGATAAATGTATTTTTATTATATGAAATGAAGATTTGTGATTGCCTGGGTCAGGGGGTAGGAATGGGGTTTTGCTGTAAATGGGCACAGGAATCTTACTGGCACGATGAAAATGTTCAGAAACTAGATTATGGTGATAGCTATACAACTTGTTAAATGTAAAAAAAAAAACTGAACTAGACTCTTGAAAAGGGGTGAATTTAATGATATAAATTATATTTCTATGAAGTTATAAGTCCAAAAAAAGTATTCTTAAAATTAAATCTTTAAAAATGCACAAACCAACCTAGTCACAATCGGAATTGGGTAGCTATTTAGAAGGGTGAAAATAGGGGCAGGAGATTTAGCTCAGTGGTTCTGCCACCTGCCTTGCAAGTGCAAGCAATGTTCTAAGTTTGATCCCTCGTACCAAAAAAAAAAAGAAGGGTGAAAATATTAAACTTAGAGAAGCAGGAAAAATTCTAACAAAAAAGGTAACTGATTAGGCTTAAAACAACAAATCTCTTAGTAAAATAAACAAACTGGGTAGGCCACAAGGTCCACTCTGACTAACAGTAACTATCTACATGGCAGGCTGATTAGAAACCACAAATGGAATGCAGGCTTCAGAATGTGCTTTCCAATACAGGAGCCATGGGTCCCGGGCAGCTACTGAGCACTGCAGTGTGGCTCATCTCATGGCGGGTGTGCTGCAAGCACAAAACATGCGCTAGATTTTGACGACTGAGCACCAGTAAAAGCTATGTAAAGTATCTCACTGTGAAAATACTAAGTACACGTTGCAGGATTTTTTTTTTTTTGGTACTGGGGATCGAGCTCGGGTCCCTGCACTTGAGCAGCAGGCAGCGAAATCACTGAGCTAAATCCCCACCCCCACGTTGCAGTATTTTTGAAACACTGGGTTAAAAAAATGTTATTAAAATTAATCATACCTGTTTCTAAAAAGTTATTACAAGAAAAAAAGAGAAAATAGAAGGAAAAAATGCAAACAAAGCTTTTGTATATAAAGAGGGGAAGGGGGTGGGAAAAAAAGAACCAAGATATATTTTTTTAAAATGCACAGGTACAAATTCCATGTGATTGAGTGATCATTATGTATATCTAAAATGTATCAATAAATGTTTTGCTGAAAAAAATTCAAAAAAGTTATTTTAATACAGCTACTAGAAAAACTTCGATTAAATATGTGGCTTGCATTACATTTCTATTGGACAGCTCTCCTTTAAGTGGACTTGGGATCTACTGAAGTATCTGTCATTTAATCACATCATGAGAAATTCTCTTTACCTCCATAGCCATCATTATGCTCTTTAAAATGGACATATTTACCTACCTCACAGGGTTTTTGTGAGAACTGGAAATAACACATACAAAATTGCTGGCACGTACTATACTCCTCCATCTGCTGGTCCAATGCTACAATATCCAGGAACCAAAGCTTTATTTCTTTATTTTTAACATCTAGATATTCAGAACAAAAAGCCCCAAAGTACAGTGAGTCTTCTTCTAGCCTCCAGATACCATGCTCAGGAAGACTGGGCACCCAGGTTTGTAGAGATGTCGGTGAGTCTGACTGGGGACTTGGGACTCAGCAGAGCAGCCTCTGCTGAGTGTGGGATGCAGCACCCTGCTTACCCTTCTGAAATCCAAACAATCCAAAATTGCAAAGCATGGCTGCTCAAAGCCTTCTGGAGAGAAGCTCTGTGAAGCAGCAGTTGTTCCACATACAGCAGAATAACTATTATAATTATTACTGATGACCCACAAACCACTGTGGGCAAATGGAGGCTTAAAGAAAGGAGATGATGAAGTTTGCACAGTGAAGCAGGCAGCATTAGCCAGACAAGAAACCCAGGATTTAGGGGATGGAGCTCAGTGCTAGAGCTCCTACCTAGTGCATGCCTGCACCACAAGATGACAACAAAGAAACCCAGGATTTCTCCAGGACTCTTCCCACCCACATTTCTGTGTCTTCCTTCCCTTTTCCTTTGTTCTTTCCTTTGCTCAGTGCCTCAGTCCTCTCCTGTACCGAACACTAACACAACCCCTCAGCTCATTTCCCTGTCTTCAATCTCAAAGTCCCTTGAGCCACAGCATGCACCAAGATTAACCCCAGGAGAATTAGCTCAGTGTTAAAATGCAAAACCATTAATCCTCCAAAATAACATGCAATATATTCAAAATGCTAGAAGACAGGTGAATTTCTAATGTAAATAACAGGAGAAATTAGAAGGTGAATGCCAATCCTTTTAACCACATGAAAATTTAGAAACAAATTTCCACATAACCAAGTAGAAAAATGAGAGGTACACAAAATGAGCCATAGGACAGAACAGGGACATACTTGCAGTAAATGTGGTATCGATGTCTATTCTATATTTAAACTCCCTATATAAACTGAACATTTCAAAAACATAAACTCACTATTAGAAAGGTAGGAAAACACAATTTACGAGAGTAAGTACAAACAGAAAAAAACAAATCCCAGCAAACACTGGGGAAAGACGGCATGGTCTATCTCATGTAGGGCAGTGTGGACACCCAGGGTCTGTGTGGGGTCCTGGCCCTGTGGCTCCTGGACTAGAGAGCCGGAGGGTTATTTAAGCTGGGATTCAAGTTCTCACCTGTCAGCTGGGAATGACAGGGGCCCCAGGAGTGCTGTGGGGATCAAATGAGGTAATGAATTACAGGCCTTAGCACAAAGCGTGCAAATCAGTAAGTTCCCAGTCAGTGCCGACTGCTATTAGTTTGCTGTAGTGAGAGTTTTAATGCCCATACCCAGTACCCGTAAGTGTGAAGTGGAACCAACACTGGGCCCCACGTGGCGGCTGGTACCGATGTGTCAACTCTCCTTCTACAGTCACTCAAGGATGACCTACTACGGGAAAGGACACAGAGAAAAATCAGCAAAGGGAGAGGCAAACAGGGCCAGTCCAGGGACGACAGCAAGCAGTTTTCAGGTGCCGTCTGCACGGAGCCCCCGGGGCTGCGCCTCACTCCTCCAGCCGCAAAGTGTGATGATCTGTGTGAAAGGCTGTGTGCTAGCGAAGCTCATTAGAGTCAGTGCCCAGGGTCCTTACTGGAACCAGCCATGTGACAACTCTGCAAGTCAACTCAAAAGTACCTGCAGTCCAAAAAGTGGTCCTGCCCTTACTTCTGCAGCTCAATACTGCAGAAAACAGGCAACAGCACTCACTGTGTTGCCATTAATAGTAAATGAGAATCTAAACAGAAGATTCAACACACAGACTACTCATAGAACATTACCACTAAAACCAAATGTGGGAAAAACACAGATGCGTGAATTTTAGGATAACAATGACATTCTCATGAAATAAGTGTAGTTATTTATGACCATGTTTAACTGCTTTTGCCTTTTCCTAATTTTTATGTCATATGACATTTTATTGTAACCCTAAAAGCAGTATTTTGCTAATGAGGATAGGCCCCTCCATTCTCACTGTTGCCATCGGCTGCTTCCTGCCCTGCCCTCCGAAGCCGGAAGTCACCACAGTCGGGCCCCTGGGGGCCTTTCTTCTGGCTCACATCATCACACTGCTGATCCCCAGGTCCTCTCGCGGCATGAGCCATGACCAGACAGTCAGTGAAGAAGGACCAGGCCAAGCAAAGAGAGCTCTACCCGGCCAGGAAACGAGTCCTTGACAAGCGGCCAAAAAGAAGAGTTGAGGGGAAATTTGTGACATTTTTTAAAAGAAGGACAAAAGCAAAGCAAACTGGAACACTACCACGCCTCGTGCTGCTTAACATGAGAAGGGAAACACGGAAGCAGAGATGCAAGGGGTGCTGGGAGGACGAGGGACACAGCGGGGCTGGGCTCCCACCCAGCTCTGTGTCACTCCCCGGCTGCCTGGCCTTAGAGAAGTCACTGAACCTCTCTGGGCCGTTTGCTCTGTGACGCAGAATCAACAGCTCCTGTAGCACTGCAGGGAGTGACTCACACTGAGTACGCAGGCCCAAGAAGGGACTCCCCGATATTGGGCATTCTCCATCTGAGGACTCACCCTGAGACCTGGCCCCTCTGTGCAGGCCTCAGGACTCTGAGGGGTGGAGCGGGGAGCACTCAAATGGCGAGGAGCCCCTTGAGCTCACACAGCTCTTGCACAAAATGTCCCTTCCAGACTGCAACAGCACAAACACTGTGTCACGCTGCGCCTGGCCCAACGTACCAGGCTGGATACTTAGGTGGCAATGGGAGGTGATCAGGTCCTCAGGGTGGAGCCCTGTGATGGGACCAGGGCCCCCTAGAAGAGGCCCAGACGGCTCTCTCAACCCCATGTGAGCACACAGCAAGAAGGCACCACCTACGAACCAGACCCTGTCTGACAGCGCCTTGACCTTGGACTCCCAGCTTTCGGGACCGTGAGAAATAAATCCCCGCTGCTTATAAGCCATGCACTGTATGGTGCTGTTAGAGCAGACTGAACAGACACGACATACATGTGCCTTGGTTCTCAGTCACTCACCGGGGCACCAGCGTCTCCTTGGTGGCTCCACGATCCAGGGCTCCTTCCCTTTCTCCAGTAAGGTGATGACATTTGGCCTCCGAAGGCAAAGACCTGGACATGGGACACATATGGAAGTGGACCGTGAGGTGGGCACCAGAGGTCAGGGCCAGCCCTGGGCCAATGGGAGGAGGCTGAGCAGGACAGTGGGGCAGCTGGGGGACAGGCCGGGGCACTGTGACCACTGAGAAATGTGTATTTGGTCTCCATCCCTGTTTCCTGAAACTGCTCCTAAAACTTCCCACCTCTGGAGTGGCATCTTCCGTACAGAAATGAGATGACTGCTGGCCGGGGCTCCAGGAGAGACCAGAGCTTGCGGCTAGAGGGCTGGGAGAGAGAGCACAGAGAGCCTGGAGATGGATCACCACAGTGAGTGAGCAGGCCTGCATAAGGCAGCCGCCATGAGCCCAAAGCACAGGGTCTGCAGGGCTTCCGAGCATGGAGGGCGGCCCCTCCCCTGTGCCCGCGCATGCATCTCCTCACCAGACACACCTTCACTGTGTCCTCTGTGTATCTGTCATGCTGAAGTGGCCACCCTAAGTGCTTCCCTGAATTCTGTGAGCCACTCTCACAGGTGATGAAACCTGAGGGGAGGGGTCACAAGAACCTCCACATTACAGCCGGTGGGTCAGACATTCCAGAGGCTGGCGGATATGGCTGTGCCTAGGTGTGCCCCGAAAGCCTTACGTGGTCATAGGCGGGGCTTTTGGGGGTGGATGCATCTAGGGTGTGTGGTGCTGGGATTAAGGGTACGTAATTACTAAATCAGTCTGCTGACTGACTTGGCAGAGTTCTGGGTAGGGTTGAGGGTGTGCCACCGTGGGTGTGAGTCCTAGCTGCTCCAAGGTGGGCAGCTTGGATAAAACATAAGGAAGAGAAAGAGGGTCTCTGGTCTCTTGTCCCTCGTCCCTTGATGCCTTCTGCCTGCCATGGACTGTTTCTCCTCTGCGATGCCCCTCTGCCACCCTGCCTTGAATCGGCCAACTATGGACTGAAACCTCTACAAACTGTCAGCCAAATAAAGCTTTCCTCCTTCAACTCTGGGTGTTGTGAACTTTGTCTCAGTTGCGAAAGTAACTAAGACATCCAGACTTGGGTGTCCATGGGACCTGACGCCTTCTTCAGGTACCTGGTGTCAGAACTGAACTTCTGCCTGGGTGTTCCAGGGAGCACTGCCTGGTGTGTGGACCCCCACCCCACCCCTACTTTGGGGCCAGGCTGTTCTGTACTGAGTGGTCAGTGTCAGAGTCGGAAAAAAAGGGTTTGGTTTTAAAAAATCTCATGGAAGGAGGATAAAAACTCAGCCACAGCCAGTATAACTGTTTGCTTCTAACTCTACAGAACCAGCTGCTAACTTAACACTGGTCAGATGCTCAACAGCAATTGCTCCACTATTATCTTTCAGCCCTGGATCCCAACTCTTCCAGGAGCTAATCTGTCAAGCTGGGCTCAGGCTCCACCATCCACCTCACCTTTGCCAGATGCTCCTTGCCAAAATCCACTAGTTGGGGCTCTGTTGGTTTAATCTGTTTTCTTTTGGCACCTGTACTCCCAGAACTGGCCTCATTTTCCCTCTCAGAAAAACAAACCAGGCCATGCACCCCCTCCTTCTTCGAAGTCCCAGTCCCAGCTCTGCAGGGCCCTTCCTCAAATCCCCAAAACACCAAAATTCTGTTCTTTGACCCCCTACCCCCAGAATTGGTGACTGTATGTCTGCATTACACCAGTGTGTACTGTTCACCTTTGAACAACACTTGTCAATTCCTTATACAAAATAACTAGGGTGTCCCTCAAAAATAGAGTTTTCATGTGACCTGGAAATTCTGCTGACAGGTATCGATCCAAGAGAAATGAATACATTCGTCCACATAAAGACCTACACATGAATGTTCACAGCAGCATATTTTTAACAGAGACTGGAAACAAACCAAATATCCAGCAATTATATGGATAAAAAGCTGAGCTCTTTCCCCACACAATGGAATACAATCCATCAATGAATAGGAATGCAGTAACAGAACATGCTGCAACCTGGGTGAACCTCAAAAATATCACGGTAAGTGGAAGAAGCCACTTTCTTACAATTCCACTGGTTTGCAAGGCTCAGAATAGGCAAACTCATAGAGGCAGAAAGAGGACTAGTAGTTGCCTAATGGGGTAGGATGAGTTGGCAGAGGAAATGAGGAGTGATTAATAAAGGGTGCAGGGGTTTTTTCTGAATAAAGAAAATGTTCTAATATTGACTGTGGTGATGGATGTTCAACTCTGTGAATATGATAAAAAATCACTGAACTGTGTATTTTATTACTGGCAAATCATAGAGAATGTGAATTATACCTCAATAAAGCTATTAAAAATTTTGAAAACTTACAACTGGAGTGGCTTCCACTTTTCTGACTACTCTGTGACTGTTACATATCCCTCAGGAGGATGGCTCTGTTAAGGGTGGGAGGAGAACCTTACCAACCGACACCAGGTTCCGATAGTTCTCTAACATGACCTCTTCGTATAACTCCTTCTGCGTGGGGCTCAGCCATTCCCACTCCTCCTGGGAGAAGTAGATGGCCAAGTCTGAAAATGTCACTGGTGCCTGAAATGAAAAAGTCACCCGTCTACTCACCACAGGCTTGGGTTTCCACAGGGCTGGAGAAATGGCAGACACATTCCAAACACGGGCGATGTGGGACCACCAGGAAAAGTTCAATAAGCATTTGGGGTTCTGAGGCTAAAGGGGCAGATGTATTAAATAAAACACAATGCAATGTGTCATAATCTTAGCTGTTAAACATTATGTTGCATAGGGCCAGGGATTTAGCTCAGTGGTTCTACCACCTGCCTCGAAGGTGCAAGGACCTGAGTTTGATCCCCAGTACCAAAAGAAAAAAAAAAAAGATTATGTTGCATAAAATACACAGCAACTTGGATCAATGGGACATTGATGAGTCAAGACATTTTCTAAGCACCTGACCACACTGCTTCACACTCAATGGGATACGGCACAGCTGTCAGGATCACAACACTGACACAGATGAGGAAAATGAGGTCCAGCGCTGGGGTAACTTACTACAGGTCATACTACCACTCAGCGGAGGAGCCAGGGTTCAGATGGGTGGTCTAGCTCTGACTTGAGCCCCCAAGAAAAAGCTTTTTAAAGAGCACAGGAACACGCCAACAGGACAAAAGGCTCCTCCTAGGTGTGATCAAGGCCACTAACCAGCTGATCTTAATACTGAGAGACCCTTGGGGCTGGGGATTTAGCTCAGTGGTTTCGCTGCCTGCTGCGCAAGCACAAAGACCCGAGTTTGATCCCCGGTATCAAAAAAAAAAAAATACTGAGAGACCCTGAAACAGGGAGATTTTCCAGGGCTTGAGCAGGCTGGCTTGGCTAAAAGAGGAAAAGGGGGCTATGTGGAACGCACAAGAGGAACTAGATTCTACCAAACCCTAGCAAGCCTGGAGAGGACCCAAGCCCCGAAGGAGAATGCAGTCAGCCAACACTTTGATTTAGCCCCAGGAGACCCTCGAAGATGACCTAGAGGAGCCCCAAGTGCCAGACCCTGCCCCGAAGGAACCAAATATCCAGCATGGTGATGAGTGAGTGCATGGTGAGAGTGTGCGCTGTTCTGAGCTGCTCAGCAGCAGAGGATGAACGCCGTAACTCAGAGAAACGTGTCTGACTCGTGTTGTGACAACTGCTGATGGTCTCCCTCAGCCAGGTAAGCTGCTAGCAGGAGGCAAGCGTGCCGTGGTAGCCTCCAAAGCGCCCTGAGGAACAGAGGTTGTGTGGGGCTCCCGTGCTAATATGGGCGACACAGAAGGGAGCAGGACGACAAGGCTGGTGTGAAGTATGCGCTGAATCCCCTTTGCCTTGGCAGGCACCCCTGGACACACGTCCCCATCAGAGGGCCCAAAGGCTCCAGCCTCCCTCGGCAGGCCTCCTCCCCAGCATGCACAGCCCTGGGGTCGCTGAAGGAATGGTGAGTGGCCCTGTATACTCCGAGTAACAGGTTCTGGGGCCATGGGGCTCTCCTCGGTGCCCAGCCTCCGCAGCAATGGGCCAAGCTTGCAGGAGTTTGCTGTGGGCAGGATGTCTCTGGGAGGGAAGCAGGCGGGCCGAAGCTCTCAGGACGGGATGGAGTGTTTCTGTGTGAGGGGCACTCGCCACTCACCTTGGGCCTAGATCTCCCTCGTGTAGCAGGCATCTTTTCCCCTCTGCAAGGTTCACATTTAGAGAAGCGCAGAGGCCAGGAAGGCAGGGCTGTGGAGGACAGAGTCGTGAGTGGCCCAGAATCCCCAGGCCTCTCACCTGGACACAAGTGCGTGTACACACACATGCATATGCACACATGGGTGCACATGAAAAAATATGCACAGAAGCCCAGCCATCTGCACTGTAGCACACGCCCTGGAGAGCAGGGGAGGCCACCAGGAGGCTCAGCTCAGGCTTCTGATCAGGAGGGAGTGAGGGACAGCAGGTGCCGCTCACCCTTGTGCCAGGCTTACTAGGTGCCTACACACCAGTCTGGGCAGACAAGTCCCTGGACAAACCACTTCCTGAGCGGCCTCCTAACCACCTGCCTGAAGGACTCTCACCCCAAATTAGGCCATGTTTCTGCTGTCTCCTGTGAATGCCACAAGCGACAACGGAGCAATGGAAAGATGGCCAAAGCCGCTGAGGAATTATTTTAATTTCAATTAATTATCAAAACAAGAATACATTTTTAAAATACTACAAAAAATCTATTGTGAATTTAAAATGAAAAACTGATACTTGATTCACTTACTGTAAAAGTATATTTACAACAACTTGGTACATGACTCAACTTTCCCAATAACGAATTTCATGAAACTTTAGTACACATCAAATATCTCCAGGGACAAAGAAGCCTCCAGACTGGGACAGACCACACGTGAAACCTCCTGCCATACTTAGAAGTCCCAGTAGGGAAAAAAAGACCATAAGATAGCTCGCTGATAATTATTTCTATTGGTTAGATATTGAAATGGTACTGCCTTGGATATAGTAAGTAAAATGTGTTATTAAAATGAATTTTAAGGGGTCGGGGATTTAGCTCAGTGGTTCCACCGCCTGCCTCGCAAGCACAAGGTCCTGAGTTCGATCCCCCGTACCAAAGAAAAAAAAGAATTTTAAGGCTGAATTTGTTTCTTTTTTTTCTTAATGTGGTTACTGCAATACTTAAAATTACATGCCTCGTGTTGTTTCTGCAAGACAGTTCTCCAAATCTGACTTGATCTCCTGTAGTACACTGTTCGCTGTCTTCAGGGGACTTACCGTTACTCTTACGTTGTGCTGAGGGGCTGGGGTTTTAAACCTGGGGCCCAGGGTACCCCCGGGAAGCACTCCCGCCCTAAACCGCACAGCCACCACAGCGCTCGGCTCGCTGTCTTTACGTGGTTAAAGTCGCCCCCACGCGATCGGACTCACGACCAGGGACACACGTGAGTGCTGCATTCGCTGCCCCCTCCCAGGGCCCACAGTGTGCCCAGGGACCCCGCCCGACACAGCGGGCGCCGAGCGTACCTGCCTCCTAACTCCGCGCTGACGGCCGGGCTCGGTGTGCTTCCAGCGCGCCGCACTGAGGCGGATCAACCGCTCTGCGCTGAAGCCACATCACAAAGGCGCCGCTCTGCAGCCATCAGGCCACAGCCTCCGCACCTGTGCCCCCGGAGGACGGCAGAAATGGGGACAAGCTCTACTTCCGCCATTGCGAAAACTTGAAATCTAGAGAAAAGTTAAAAAAATATACGATCAATAACGCGATCACAGTTCTTGCGATGAAGGGTCTGGGGCAGAGGCTGCGGCGAGCCTGGGACCACTGAGACACCGGCACGGTTTGCACACCCAGCTAATCCCCAGCTCCCTGGCGAAGGAGACAGCCACCTGCAGCCCTGCGATCAGGGGCCAGGGCGAGCTCGGCCCCGAGACGCAACACAAGGCAGACGCCTGGCCAGCGGGGGCGCCACCGCGCTACCGGAGAGGCTCGGACAGCCCCGAGCTCCTTCGGGATTCACCGCCGCAGCCTCCATCCGAACTCAGCAGAACAGAACAAGAATGCTGGCCACGCTCTGCGGCCACTCAGCCTGGACCGCGGTGAGTGTCCCCTCAGCGCCGAGGGAGACGTCACCTGTGCACCGTGGGGGGGGGCACGCGCACCCACAGCTACAGCGGGGTGCTCGTCAGCCACGCCGCGCGCAATCGCGGGGCTGTGACGCGGTCGCAGTTTCCCAGGCGACCACGGCCCCACAGCCTCTCACACGCACAGGCATACCAAGGGCGATGCACCCGAGCTGCGCTCAGCCCGGGCTCTGCCAAAGCCTCGGGTGACACCACGCTGCACACCCGGGCCACGTCCCCTCACACCCCGGCCGACGGAGTCACGGACACAGCCTCGCTAGCTGCCACACGGGCACAGCAGAGCTCACACGACCCACGCGAGCTCGCAGCTCACTGATCTGCAGAGCAGGGCCACGCAGGACCACGCAGCCAAGCCGGGCACCCCACGCAGTGTGGGGACCTGGCCCACCGCAGTGTCGGGGGCCCGCGCGGTGGCGATCACAGAGCGGACACTCACCGTCCATCCCTCGCCTGCGTCACTGAGGCTCAGTCCACCGTGGTGCCCACCACCCACCGGCGCCCCTGCACATTCGCCTCGGAGACCCCAGCTCTTGGGCCCCGCCCCTTATAGCGCAACACGTAGGTGCCCGGGGCCCGGCCCCGAGAGCGGGTCCTGGAGCGTGAGGCCCCGCCCTCGGGGCGGCCCCTGAGCAGGAGGCCCAGCCTACCTGTGCACCAGGACCCCCCCTTACCCAGGGCACCCATGCGCTCGCCGCTCACCGTTCCAGCCCCTGGCCCGAGTTCCGCCCCATCGACGCTAGATTTCAGAAGAACATTCATGCAGTCAGGGCGGAGGGCCTTCTCTGAACAGCCAGGGATCCACTCCCTACCCTTCAAGAGGACGCTGTGTGCGCTCGGACGTCAAACACCTACTCTGTACTGTCCAAATCCAAACCCCCCAATTCACTGCCTCGCCGGCCTCCCCACGCCTGTCGCAGAAGCCGCAGCACCGGGCCCTGCGCCCCAGGTTTCAGTGGGGTTCGAACCGGCCGCCTCCGGATAAGCATGCGCGCTGCGAATTTAGCGTTCGACTCCCAGAAGCCTCCGGGGCGTGACGTGCAGTGGGGAGCCACGCTCAGAAGGCGAGACGAGAGCGTCTCGGGTTTTTTGGCTCCTGTTTACCGGGCCTGGAGATAAACTGACCCGGAGAAGGGGTGAGGGACCTCCCTCCTCTCCTTTCACAAGAGACCCAGAGCCCTCTGCGCGGCCCCAGACTACATTTCCCAGAGGGCTCTGCGGCCCGTCTGTGCCTCGTGTGGAGCTGCGCCTGCGTGAGCGGGGCGACAACTCGTTGCCACGGAGACCATCTGGTGCTGGCGAAGCTTCAAGCTTTGTTTCTCTGACCCCTTGCAGCCGGGTTTTGTGTTTGCATGCCATGTGCTGTGAATTCCGACAGTCCGTGCGTGTGTGAGCTGCTGTGGGCGAGTGTGTCCCGGTGCAGGTGTGTGAGACCCAGTTTGTGCGCTGGTTGTGATTGCGTGTAGTCAGTCTGTGGCTGCTTCTTCATGGGACAGAGGCAGGTAGTTGCAGCACGCATGTTACGGCCCACACAGCCTAAAATCTTGTCTATTGTGAGTTTTTTCATCAATAATCGTCACTTTCGTGTGTAAACTGAGGCTTAGAGACGTTATTATGGTCACAACTAGAAAAGGTGACAGCCAATTTCGAATCCAGATCTTGCTGACCCCAGAACTGTGTTCCGCTGGGTCTGGCAGCGTGGATGTGACTCCTGGCTCCTTCCCAAAGTCAAAAAGACCAGAGAGGGAAATGTTCAGAACCAACCCCAGACACCTAGAGCAGCTATAAGGGACAGCTCGGGAAAGGACTCTGGAGCTGCTTCCGAAAGTGCTAAGAACGGTAGAGGAGTGTGTTCAATGCCGGGGGAAGATCTCGAGGGCGATTCATGGCAGTGTGTCTTTTACTGTAATACATTTCTTAGAAACTTAAACTCACTATATGTTCATCGTGCCCATGTGCTTTGCTTTATAGAAAGTCTTTCATAGAACATTGGAATTTGCATATGTAAAAATGTCTTTATAAATTATATTAGTTAAAAGTCCCTCTGGGATAATACTTGCAATAATTTGCTGTCCATAATTGAAAAATGCACATCAAATACCTCTGGATTTATCAGCGAGGGTATCCCTCACTTGTGGGGAAGCAGAGCTCTGCACACAGCGCCATGTAAGGGGCTGGGCGGGTCAGAAAAGGGAGGACAGAAGGATCCCAGCAGGCAGGCGGGCAGCGACAGGGACCAGGCCAGCCCAAGTGTGCTCCCAGCCTGGGTCTGGCTGCCTTTGCACATTCGCTGTCTTTTGGGGACCCCACTGCAGGGCTTTGAGGAGGACCAAGCCTGACCTCGCCCAGGGGAGAGCGCGTGGAGGAGCACTTTGCTCAGGAGGCCCCTGGCTGCAAGTCCCTCTCTGACTTATGGGCCAGGTTTTTCATTCCCCAGGTGTGGCCGACCACACACTCCCGCTGGGGTGGGGACAGAGCTCTAAGGGCCACAAGGGCTTCGAGCACTGACGCGGAGCCTGTAGTTCCTTGGGTGTCTGTGAGGCATCAGGGTCGAAGCCTTACTACTCTCAACTCTGTGGTGCTCCCGTTGTCTACCTGGGGCCAAACAGACTCATTACTAGCCAGGCATGATGGCTCAAGCCTGTAATCCAGTACTCAGGAGGCTGAGGCAGGAGAATCACTCTGAGTCTGAGGCCAGCCTGGGCACAAAGTGAGACCCTGTCTCAAAAAACCAACCAACCAACAAACAAAACAGGCTCATTCTCTCTTTCTGTTTTGTTCACTCTAATATCAGGCCACGTTGCGTTGCTTAGGAAGACTAATGGGAAATGAAACAATGTTTGCACAGTGCCTGCCCTTTAATCTGGTCCTCAGAGCTGGCTCATCCTGGGACCAGGTCCCTGGTGGGTTCAGTGCGCCATTCGGTGCATGTATCTGCAGGATCACACTCCCTGAGAAACTCACGCTTCCAGTCATCTGAAGTGAGGTTTCCAACACTCAACACCCATTCTCCCTGAGTTACACCGAATTCAGTCATTGACAGTCCCCCACACACAGCACTGCGAAACTACTTGTAAGCATCTCTGGAAACTGAGTGTCTCTCTCAAAGGCAGGCACATCGGAAGCCGGGCGTGGCGGTGCATACCTGTGACCCCAGAGCTCTGGGAAGCCGAGGCAGGAGGCTAGAAAGTTCAAGCCCAGCTTAAGCAACTGAGCAACTTAGTGAGAGGGTGTCTGTAAATGATAATGAGACAGCTCACTGCGCAGGTCCTGGGTTCACCCCCAGTACTGGAGTCTCGGCAGCCAGCCCAGCTCATCCTAGTTTTGGACGTGAACTCTGGTCCATCCCCTTCTGGTTCCCTGGGCTCAGGATGCTTCCACTCCTCCTCAGAGAATGACCCTGCACCTGCTGGGGCAGAGGTGACCGTGGCTCCGCGCTCCCTGTCCCTCCCCAGGCTCCGAGGCCAGCCTCAGGCCGGCAGGAGCTTCAGGCAGGCTGTGGAGATGGACAGCGAGGCCCGGATGCTGCCCAGACTCCCCCTGGGCTTCTCCCTGTGGGACTCCAGCGGCCAGGAGAGCGTGAGCCTGCACGAGGAAGTGGCCGGCCCCAGCTACCGCTGCCAGGACACCCTCTGGGCACTGTGGTGGCTGCCAGCTGCTTGGCTCTGTCCATCCCTGTGGCCAGGTGCCTGGGACCCTGCGGGGTGCCATGGGTGAGCAGTGTCCCGGACGGCTCAGGGGCTCCGGAGGACCAGAGTCTTCTCCCTAGTGTGGGCAGCAGGGCGCTAACAGGGAGCCCTGCTGTTATTTTGTTCTCTCGCCTGACTCCTAATGTTACCTGCCCTTCCTTCTCCCCATGTCCCGCCTTTCTCCACTCATTATTATCGGTGCAAATTTTGAAGCTGAGTGAGATGGCGCACACTTTAATCCCACACTCTGGGAGGCTGAGGAGAAGGATTTCGAGTTTGAGGCCAGCCTGGGCAACTTAGCGACTTATCAGGATGTTAAGGAAATGTTGTGGGCAGCTAGCTGTCTCCTCCTCCTGTTTTAAGCAAGACGCCATCTCAAAATAAAATAAATCAAAATAAGGCTCTGGGTTGTGTCCTGGGCTAGATAACCAGGCTTGGTGACGTCACACTCCGGGGATGTCTGGGTAGGGGGAGGCAGGCCAGGGGCACCCTGGTCACAAAGGCAGAAGCCACAGACAGCAGAGCACACTCCGCTGAAGGAGCTTTCTCACTCCCACTGGAAGACACGGGGGCTGGGCGTGGTGGCGCGCGCCTGTCAACTAGCACTCGGGAGGCTGAGGCAGGAGGGTCACCATGAGCTCGAGGCCAGCCTGGGCTACACAGCAAGACCCTGTCTGAAGACAAGCAAACAAAAAGCACATAAATAATGAGGGGCCTGGGACGTGATTGGCGGCTTCAGAAACCAGACATCTCACCACTCCTGCGCAGCGCGGGAAATGCCACCCTTGTGTCAGAGGGCGCGGGAAGTGGGCTGGGCGCTGTTACCCACCGTTTGCTCTCCTGCCGCCTTTCTGGGTGCAGGTAACAACACCCTTATTGTTTATATTAATGTTCGCGCCCAATCAAGCCCTTGCCAAGCACTGGTTCCTTTTGTGCAATTTTGCCTCATTCGGCCGAATCCTCTTGCGGAGGACCCTCCCCACGGGCTGGGTGACTGTGCTCCTGGATGTCGCACAACAGCAAAGCCGTCTGGGATGAAGATGTGAAGAAGACCCGTGTGAATTCCTTCACACACAGTCAGTTTCTCAAAGGTGGAAACTTTACTGCAATTTTGAATTCCCCCAGAAGACACAGCGACTATTTACGGGATACTGGGGATCAAACCCAGGGGTGTTTTCATTTTGAGACAAGGTCCCAGTTGTTCAGGCTGGCCTCAAGCTCGAGATCCTCCTGCTTCAGCCTCCCGAGTAGCTGGTTGACAGGGCTGTGACCTCCCCCCTTTTCTCAGTCAAGACCAATTTCTCACCTGCTCTTGCTGTACATTTTTCTTCACGTTCTCCACCCCCTCCCCGCCCCAAAACCTCCTCTCCCTGTGGGTGAACTCCGCATCCAACAGCACCCCTCTCAGCGACAAGACTCAGTTTCCGTCCTTGTCCTGGACGATGGCCAGCGACCAGGCCACTGCCCCAACCTGGCTGAGCTGCTCACACACTTCAGGTGGACATGGCTGGGCCTGGTGTCACAGGCCGATGGCGACTGGCAGCAGGTGCAGCCCTGGTGCGGCCAACAGTCAGGGTGTGCCCAGAGCTCAGCAGCACACGCCATGGGATGCTGGAGGCTTGCTCTGCCACGGTTGCCCTGGTCCTCATAAGCAACGGCATCTTCTGCCTGGTGCTGCAGAGCCTCTCGGCCATGCCGTGGCCAGCCGGCTGTGGGTCACCCTCTTCATCATGAACAGCGATTTCACCTCGGCCAGACCCGACATGTGGCAGAGTCAGCAGGGGACCCTGTGGGGAGGGTGGCCAGGCCCAGGGGCTCCCAGAGCCCTGGACCTCAGCCAGGCGCAGAGACGCAAGCAGAAGCTGTCATGGCCAGGTTTCGGGAGGACAAGGGCCAGTGCGAGCGAGTGGACAGGGCACTGGGGACAGAGCCCAGGTAGGTCCAGGCCATGAAGAGGCGAGTCGGAAGGGCCATCAGGTGCGGGCTGCTCCTCAACACCTGCATGGTGTGTAGGGTGACACATGCACTCCCAGCCGTGACGGAGGAGGAGGAGCTGGTTTGGGGACAGTGGGCCTTGTGGCGGCACAGGGGTGCCATCAGCCCTGGCAGGCGAGGGACACATCTGTCCCCCATGGTGGGAACTGACATCCACTCCAGTGGGGACTGGGCAGTAGGGATCTCGGAGGTAACGCTGACTGTTCTGCCGCATTATTTCCATTAGGCTTTGGATTTGTGATATGAGCTGTAATTATAAAATATGGTGTGTGCTTAATTTTGTACAATTATTACCGAAAAGACATATTGCCATGAACTCACCTCAGAATATTCCTGGCTTCAAACACACTTATCCCACCACCCTCTCCACTTTCTGTAGCAGCTCTGGGGGCCTCTTTCCTGAGTGTCTTTAGTTGTGCCGGGGTGGCTGCTTCAGAGGTCTGAATCGATTCAAAATATTTACTTTCTACGGTCATTTTGACGTTGGGGAAGAGCCAGGAGTCACACAGTGCCAGATCTGGTGAATAAGGTGGATGGGGATGCAGTGCCATGTGTTCATGAGCCGCCCTTCTGTCGGACGGCGCTCAGCACCAGCAGTCCCAGTATTTTTAATCACATCTCATACAGACACTCAGGAAAGAAGACTCCAGAGCTGCTAGAGAAAGTGGCCAGGATGGTGGGGTAAGTGTGTTTGAAGAAAGGGGTGGACTTTGAGGGAGATTCATGGTGATGTGTCTTTTACTGTAATAAATATGTTTAATGTAGGCATTTACCATATTTTCCCATCAGCCCTTGTGAATCCCAGCATTTTGGCTAGATGTTGACGTGTGAATCTGCATAAATGATGTGCAAGCCTTAGGAAAGTTGCTGCCACTGGGTCAATGAAAAAGACATCAGATTATTACATTTTCTATCATACATGCTATATGGAACTGAAGGAGAATGAAGGGTTAGATGGTTCATTTTATCCTCAGACCTTTTTTATAACATTTCTTATGTGTGCAACACAGATATAAGAATTCAAGAAAGCAGCAAAACTGAAGGTTCATCCCTTTCCTGGTGGACATAAGATCAATGTGAGCAAACATGGTAGGAATGTGCTGGGAAGGCAAGTGACCAAGGCTGAGGATGTGACAGGAGGTGGCAGCTGGGGCAGGTGAGGAGCGTTTTCCTAGGACACTGTGATGTCTGGACAGACCCCTGCCCATCCCGTGAGGACCCCCTGTCCAGGAGCAGGGTCCTGAGACAGCACTCAGAGCACTGGTGACACAGGACAGTGGCCCTTGGCCCGTGGCCTCATGACCTCTCCCCACCCTGACTGGAGGTTGAAATGAGGCCCGGAGGTCACTGTTAACCGGCTGACATCGCTTTGTCAAGAGAGGCGTGCTGCTGATCTAAAGGAAAATTCACTGTACTGTAGAGAAAACAGCAGGTACACCTCACCGGAACAGTCGGGGGCGGGGGGACAGGTCACACACACTCCTTTCAGTCACATATTTTTGTTCAGAATCGAGAAATGACTTTGTTACTAATGGTTCAGACATCGCCTGGGTATGGCTCCCTCCACGCTCCTTCTGTGAGGCCGGAGGGCGCAGCCAGAGCCTGATGAGTTAGTTCTGTTTCCCAGGGAACAGTGAGAAGTCTGTGTTTTATCCTCCAGGTTATGGGATGGCTTTGTAGGTTCCCATGAGAACAGTTGCTTTTGTGTGTTTGTGGTACTGGGCATTGAACCCAGGGCCTTTGCTGCACTGAGCTATATCTCATGCCCCCTTCTTCGGTTTAATTTTGAGACAGGGTCTTGCAAAATTGCTGAGCTGCCCCAGCTGCCTCTGAACTTGCCATCCCATCTGAGCCTCCCAGAGTGTGGGGATCACAGGCATGTGCCACTGTGCCCTGCTCAATCGCATCATCTTAATGACAGCATCAAAACCTAAGAGCAGTTGTGCATTTTCAGGGGCAGGTGGGAGAGGTTAGGGGCCTGTTGCCTGTGGCTATGGATTGGGGGTGAGCTGATGTTCGAGCCTGAATGAAGGGGCACGGCACGTGTTGACAACACACAGAGGAGAAAGTTCTGGACCCAGGGAGAGCTGTGGCCGGTGACCAGCACCCAGTGCAGTGCTGGCTTCTACAAACTGAGTTCGGTCCCACTGCAGCGGGCCTTTCAATTGTGTGCCATCTGTGGCTCTCTTTGCTCAGGGGGCCTGAGGTGTCTGTGCCATGCAGAGGTTTATGCTGAGCTGCATGGCACTCAAGGGGTTGGTAATGACAGTGTCACAGGTTAGCTCTAAAATGTCCCCAAACCCTCATGTGTTCAGATATGGGAAGAGACCATGAGGACTCCCAATTTCATGGGACAAATCCATGGATGTGACCATAATCTGAAGGCATTATTGGGGGGAAATGGAAACATGGGAGGTGGACCATAGTTGAAGGGAGTGGTCATGGGGATGACCTTGAGAACATTATCTTGTCACCTGCCCCTTTCTCTGGTGTTTGCCCTCTCTCCTCTCTGCTTCCTGATTGCTATGAGGTGAGCAGCTTTCCTCCACCAGGCACAGGCCTAATACAATGGAGCCAGCCAACCATGGACTGAGCCCTTTGAAACCGTGAGCCTTCCTCTTTGAGTTATGTCAGATATTTTGTCACAGTGAGGGAACACTGACTAACACAGGTAGTTATCTCTGGGCAGGAGACCAGAACTGGAGAATGGAGGTAAAGGGAGAAATTCTACTTCAAAAGGAGGAAGCTTAGAAACCTCCTCCCCTTAGAGTCTCTTAGAAACAACAATTAATCAACTACTGTTTTACAAATGTTCGAACAGCAGGACGTTCCACTTCTGTACCTTTTGCTTGCTTTACTAGTTCTATCCCATAGGGGGGCCTGGAAACTGCTGGCCTCAAAGGTGTATAAAATATATTAAACTCCCCCCAGTCGAGGCTTGATTCCGATGCTCGGCTCGGGTCCCGGCCGGTAATAAACTCCTGTGTGGCTTTAATATCGGTCTCTGGTTGGTTCTCTCTCACGGGGTGTAACACCCTGGCTTCTCAGTCTCCCCCCACACACACTTTTTGCAACAGGTTCTCACTTTGTAGGCCCAGGCTGGCCTCAAACTCTCGGTGATCCTATATTTCGGCCTTCTGAGTTCACCTAAAGGGCAGGCAGGTGGGTCATTCAGCAGCAATATGGAGTCTGTCTTGCTAACTAGGGTCCTTCATTCCCCACTGGTTCTTGTAACTTAATCAAATCTTTGATTTCTGTATTTATTCTTCAGATTTTTCCTCTAAAACATCTTCTAAAACCTCATAATTTTGTCTCAACACCATCAATTTAACTGTATCAACCCTCTGTCTAACATATTTAGTCAGAGCAGTTATAATGTAAGGTCCCATGAGCAAAGGCAGAAGTAAGATAACTAAGGGGCCTGCTACAGCAGAAAGTAGGGTAGTTAACCATGGGGACCAGTCAAATAGATTTTGAAACCAATTTGGATCCTTTTGTTGAGCATATTTAGTCTTTAAATTTTCCCTGACCATAACTAAGGTATCTCTAATGACACCAGACTGATGAGCATAGAAGCAACAGGTTTTTTTGTTTTTTTTTTAGGGCTACACATAACCCTTTTTGTTTCATGAACAGGAGGTCATGTCCCCTTTGATTTTGCAGGACCATCTTAGCTAGGGAATCAACCTGGTTTTTTAATCTGGAGATCGAGTCTTTCAGTTGACCCAAATCTCTGGCTACTTGGTGGCTTAGGCCTTTAAAATTTGTGTCCTGAAGGATCAGGGAGGAAGTTCCAATAGCCACTGACCCGGCTATTCCTAATCCCACCAGAATGGGCACTAAAATGGAGGCAGCCCGTTTACTCCTATAGTATTCAGTGGTTAATCCCAGATGTTCACGGCCCCCTTTTCTATTATAATACAAGACTTGTGGAACAACATACATGGTGACACAAAATAAAGTGGCAGATTGGGTAGCCAAGACTGATTTGGGAATGTTTTTAGTCAAGTCCTCAGTGCAAGCAAACCAAGCATATCAGGACCAGGTCTCCTGGCTTGAAACCATGGGGCTGGAACATTGCAAAGGGTTTTTCTCAAACCTGTTGTATTGTAGCCTGGATCTCACTCTGAAGAATCTGTAAGGCTTGAAGAGACTGAAGTAAAGAGACACAAGAACTCTCTGTTATCTGTTCAACGTTTAACTTAGGGAGGAGTGGCGGCGGCCTCCCATACAGGATTTCAAAAGGGGTAAACTTGTCACATATGGGGTACATCTAACGCTTAACAAGGCTAGAGGAAGCAGATCGGGCCACCTACCACCACTTTCTAGAACATATTCAGTCAGGGTTTCTTTCGGGGTCCTAGCTATCCTTTTTACTTGCCCTGAACTTTGTGGGTGATAGGCACAGTGTAACTTCCAATCGATATGTAGTGCCCTTGCCAACAATTTGTATATCTGTGCTGTGCCGTGAAGGCAGGCCCATTGTCAGACCCCAGGTAATGAGGGATGCCAAATCGGGGAAATATCTCCTGGAGCAAAACCTTAGTCACTATGTTGGCTGATTCTCCATGAGTGGGGAAAGCTTCTACCCAACCTGAGTAGGTGCCAACCAATACCAGTAAATATTTGAACCTACTGTTGGATTTTATTTAGGTAAAATCAAGTTCCCAGTTCCTCTGGCTCTCTTCCCCATAGTCAATGACCTTCACTCCTTGGTCTTGCCTTGGCGTTTACCTGTGCACACACCTGACCCCTGGAACTGATGTCTGGACCATAGAGGTCAGTCCTGGGATTGAAAACTTACAGCTCATTAGTCTTTTTAACTTTGATTCTCCCAGGTGAGTTAAGTGATGTAACTGATGAACAAGTTGTCGCCCCAGGGCTCGGGGGATACAAATTCGTTCACATTTGTCCCTTTCCACCAGCCTGAGTCCAGTTTTGTAGCCCCTCGCTTCTGGTTTTCCTCTTCATCTTCTGGGGTATATGTGGGCCTTTCTGGCAGGCAGCCAAAGGGTCGGATGGGCACAGTGTCTATTGGCCCCACTGGTTCTCTGGCCGCTCCTCGGGCCGCATCATGGGCCTCTCGGTTACCGCAGGCCTCAAAGCTGTCTCTTTTTTGGTGGCTTTTGTAATGAATAATGGCCAATGCCCTGGGTTCCCAAATTGCCTCCAATAAGGCCAAAATTTTTTTTTTGATAGTTTTCCCTTCTGATGCCAATAACCCTGTCTGTCTGTAGATGTCACCATGCACATGGGCAGTGGGAATGCACGTCGGCCATCAGTGTAGATGTTGACAGCCTTGTCTCGACCTAACCTCAGGGCTTGAGTTAAGGCTGTTAGTTCAGCCCTCTGCGTTGAAGCCCCCCAGCTTAATGCCTGTGTCCAGTGCACCTGTCCTCCTGGACTGACTACAGCCGCCCCCACGTACCTGACTCCATCTTCCACGAAGCTGTTTCCATCGGTGAAGAAGGTCTCATCTGGGCTTTGTGGGGGAACATCAGTCAGATCTGGGCGGTTGGTGGTGGAAGTTGTCAGAGTGTCCAGACAGTCATGGAGGGGCATGCATACGAGTCAGAGTCCAGCAGTAAGGTGGCCGGATTGAGGGTCATTTCTCAGGCGAATTTGATGCATGGAGCATCCAGCAACAGGCCCTGGTACTGAGTCAGGTGAGCACTGGACAGCCATTGTTCTGGGGCTCCTCTCAGCAATGTTTCCACCGCATGGGGTGCGGTGATGATCAGGTTCTGTCCCAGGCTGAGCTTATCTGCCTCCTTGACCAGGAGGGCAATGCCTGCAACTGCTCTCAAACAGGTAGGCCATCCACTTGCCACAGGATCAAGTCTTTTAGACAGGTAGGCCACAGGTCTGTTCCAAGGCCCTAATGCCCGAGCTAGCACTCCTTTGGCTGTGCCCCCTCGTTCAGCCACAAAGAACTGAAAGGGCTTGGTGACATCAGGTAGGGCCAGGGCTGGTGCTGACACTAAGGCTTTCTTTAAAGCCAAAAAGGCGGCTTTCTCTTTTTCTGTCTGGAGGGGCTGTCTCTTGTGCCTGGAGTGCA